CAAAAGAAAGAAAAAAAATTAATGAAGAAAAAAAAATCTAAATTAACTGAATTAACCCTTTAAACCAGGTAAACCCGTCAAACTTTGGATTCATGTCGTGAAAGTTTGATAACTAAATAGAAAAAAAAAATTGACGGGTTAACACAAAATTAACTGGGCTAACCCGTCAAATTCAGAATTCGTGTCATGAAAATTTAATAACAAAATAAAAAAAATTGAACATTAACAAACTAAATTAAACAAAAAACATTAATTAAAAAGAAAAAAACAAACAAAAAGATATCAGCTTTTTCACTGTGGACTATAGTGTGCAGTCCACAGTTAAAGGTATAAAAACAATAATAAAAGAAAAGGAAGAAAAAGAAAAACTAAAGGCATCAATCGATAACTAAATAGAAAAAAATTTAATATTGATGAACTAAATTAAATAAAAAAATATTAAATAAAAAGAAACAATAAAAGAAAAAAAACTTATAAGAAGAAAAAAACTAATGAAGAAAAATAAAAATAAAATCTAAATTAATTGGATTAACTCGTCAAACCTAAGATCCATATCATGAAAGTCTGATAACTAAATAGAAAAAAATTTAATATCAACAAACTAAATTAAAAAATTAATTAAAAAAAACATCAGTCTTTTTACCGTGGACCGCACCGTGCAGTCCACAGTGAAAGACACAAAAAAAAAGCAAAAAAAAAAAAACTAAAGGCTTTAGCCTTTTCACTATGGACTGCATACAATATTAAAAGATGAAATCGGAAAAACAAAATTAATGAGGAAAAAGAAAAAAAATCTTAATCAACCAGGTTAACCCGCCAAATCAGGTTAACCCATCAAACCTGAAATTCGTGTCATGAAAGTGTGATAACTAAATAGAAAAATGATTTATTATTAATAAAAAATTTTAAAAAAAAAGATTAATTAAAAAGAAAAAAGCAAAGAGAAAAAGACCTACGGTAAGAAAAAAAACTAATGAAAAAAAAGAAAAAAAAATGAATAAACTGGGTTAACCCGTCAAACCCGAGATCCATGCTATGAAAGTCTGATAATTAAATAGAAAAAAATTAATATTAAGAAACTAAATTAAAAAAATATATAAAAAAAAACAAAAAAAAACTAAAGGTATCAACTTTTTCACTGTGAATTGTATTGTGCAATCCACAGTAAAAGACTTAAAAAGGAAAAGAGAAAAATAAAAAACAAAGGCACACGTCACGGGTTAATTTTTTTCCTTGAATAAAAAATATCAAAAAAGGTTAAGATCTAAGAACATTGGGTCTCTTTGCAAAGATATGTCCAAGAGCCTTTGGTTTAGCTGCAACACTTGACCCAATAGTAATATTTATAATATTAATAATAATATTAAACTTACATAATTTGACTTTAAGTGAGTCCGGCTACAACATCGGACCCAAGAGTCTTGAATGTGGGTCTAGCTGCAAGGTTGTATCATAAAAGTATAATAATTAAATAGATTAATTAAAAAAAACAAAGAAAAAAATCAACAAAAAGAAAAAAACTAATGAAGAAAAAGAAAAAAATCTGAATTAACTGAGTTAACCTTTTAAACCAGATTAACCCTTCAAACCTGGGATTCGCATCATGAAAGTTTGATAACTAAATAGAAAACAAAATTGACGGGTTAACCCGGCAAGCCCGGGATACGTGTCATGAAAATTTGATAATTAAATAGAAAGAAATTTAACATTAAAAATTAAACTAAACAAAAAAAAAATTAATTAAAAAGAAAAAAAAAGCAAAAAACAAATTTCAGGTTAAATCGTCAAACTTTAAATCAGCTTATATATATTTTAATTAATTTTATAATTTTTAAAATTAATAACTATATAAATTTTTAATGATATTTAAATTTATAATACTTAAACTAATAACTTTTAAAAAGTAAATTTAACTAATCAATTAAACTATACTTATTAAGATTTCTCTGCCTAACTCTTGATAGCATGGATGGAAAATAGAGTAATTTGGCATCCATAAGAGTCAATAAAATATTAATGGAAATAATTGCGTAAATCACACTAAAATAAGGAATGATGTTGACATAAGATGTTGGTGGTGGCCATCAAAGTCAGCAAAAATATGAAATTCCCAATAAAATAAGAAGAAATTAATTTGAATAAGAAATTATAATAGGCATGTAATAGAAAAAAGAGATTAACCTAATTTTTTAAGAATTACAGTAGTTTTTAAGTCTCTTTCTTAACTACACATAGAATTGAATTTTTAATTATATAGAGTAGAAGTCTTTTTAATCTTAGCATATATAATATTTTAAGGTAAAATAATATATTTGATACTTACAAATATAATTTTCTTGATGGTTCTTATGAATTAAATAGTATTTTTTAAAATCAAATCTCTTGACACATAATTTGTATTTTTATATATAATTATATGAGTTGATCCTAATTTTCTTCCACACAATTTAAAAAAAAAATACTGGTTTTTTTTTTTCAAAGTGTTTTGCATGTATATTGTCCAATTTTATACTTGATATATTTCTCATAATCTGTTATAAATAAACAAGTTTAAATATTTATTGAATTAAAATGGTTTAATATATAAATAAATTAATTAAGTTTTCAAGAATACACAATAACATTTAATTTCACTAAAATAAAAACCATGAATATAAAACTGAATTGCTTTTCAATACTTAATACTTAACAATTATGACAAACAAGTCCTCAAGATACGTAGCATGGTAGCAAAGGACTTGAAATCCGTACAGTAGGTTTTGAGTTTTAGTCAGGGCATGCATTTCTTGTAAGAGCTTGTGATAGTCGAGGTTTTACTTGCTCACCTAAACCCACAAAATATATTTTCTTGGAGATGGAGTTTTCTCGAATAAAAAAAAAAATACTAACACTCACAAACATGTCATAAGAACTCCAAAACAATCACAATCATTAATAATCTTGCATAATTTTGTTGTAATTATATATACTTTGAATAGGAAGAATATGCTAAATGTATGTTGTTTTAAGTAAGTTTATTTTTTTTTGGAAAATTAAAAAGAAAAGGAGAGCTTCATTTATATATATATATTTCATGCAAAAAAATTTTAATTAATTTTTTTATTTTAAATTCTTTTTTAATTAAAAGCTCGAGCCACCTTCTTTCGCCTATTTATTTCGGTGTTTTAAAAATATTTTTAAAAAAATTTAATTTTTTTATTTTTTTATTTACTCTAAATTAATATATTTTTCTTACAGCAGGTGATGCAAAATTATTTACTCTAAATTAATATATTTTTCTTACAGCAACAGAGAATAACACCACAGATACAAATAAAAAAAAGAGAAAAAGAAAAGAAAAGAAAAGGGTAACCAAGGCAAGTGTTTGCTTGACGTCTCCACTTTTTTATTCGAAACAAAGAAATAGAGAGCATGAAAATCACTAAGGAATCATCCATCCATACAGTACACACCACCACAACGGTAGTTGCAGCTTTAGAGTGTGTTTGGTATTGCGGTAATTATTATGGTTGTAGTTTGAAAAAAATTATTTTATAAAAAGTATTTTTAGTTGAGGTTGGTTTGAAAAAATAGGTGTTTGGTTAAAACTGTGGTTGAAATTGGAGTCGAAGAAAAAATAGTATAATGTGTTTGGTTAAGAATTCTTTTGAAATTGAGGTTATAAAATAATTTTAAAAAATATATATTAATATTGATGATTTTTAATTTAAATATTATGGATTTAACTATTGCTATTATATACATCCGACAAGAACTACAGTTTTTATAATTTTTTAACGTGTAATAAAATTAGATAAAATATTATCATTAATAAAATTCATCCTAAACTAGTTTTCTTTACAAAAACGGTTAAAAAAATTAATAATCTATATATATATATATATATATATATATATATAAAATCCATGCAGTGCAAGTGAACAGTGCAAAAGAATTTCACTGTTTACTATTTTTAAATGAACAGTGCAATTCTTTTGCACTGTTCACTTGAACAAGTGAACAGTGTACCACTATGCACTGTTCATATAATTGTACTGTTTAATGAATAGTGTAATTGTATGAACAGTAGAAAAAAACGAGTAATTCTTGCTTTTTTAAATACTGTATTTTTAATGTAGAAAATAAATAGGATTCAATGAATAATATATTTTTAATTTTTTTAATCAAATAACTATAATTATATTTTAAATAAAACACAGTTGCAGCCACATAGCTACTTAAACACATCATTGGCACCATCTCCTGATTATTATTATTATTATTTTTTAAGCTTATCCTTTCCTGATTATTTTCAAATTAAGAAATAAAAACGTTGGAAGATATATTATATAAAATAAAAATACCCATTCCATAAAAACAATTTATTTCATAATTCAACACAAACCTTAATTGCTATTATTTTAACCTTAATAATATCAATAAAAACATATCTAATTACACTAATTAAAATCTAAATGATCTCAATTATGATAATTTTTATTAAAATTCAATGCAAACTTTATTTATTATGATTTTAACCATAACTTTATTAATAGTATCAATTAATTGAAAAATTACCTAATTGCATTAATTACAACAAAATTTATCTCAATTCAAATAAAATTATCACATACGAAAAATAACCCAAAAATCAATTCAAACCCTAATTTATCTAATTCAAACCTAATTGATTCCATAAATAATATTAATTGTATAAATATACATAATTGCATCAGCTAAAACTCTTAATTTCATTAACATCAACATCAACCTCAATAAAATACTCAATTATTAACACATAATGCAAATTTTTTCAATTCAATAACGAAACTCATAAAATTATGAGACATTATAATTATTTTACCTTCATTTTTTAGTAACTAGTGGTGATTCTATCGGTTGTCACAATGAAAAAGCTGTTAGGCTGACGGTTTGCAATAAAATAAAATAATAGAAGATGAGAGAAAGCTGAATTTTTTAATTCCATACGTATAAAAAAATATAAAAAAGAAAATAAAAAAAATGAATATAGAACACTATTGAAGGGAAGAGAGTCTCTTTTAAGCTGTCTTATTGTCATTCGATTCTTGTTGCTAATGATGATGGGACTGGTGGTTTGAGAGAATTACTGCAACAAATTCTATTACTTCTTCTCTTTGGATTTCACTTCAGAAAATTTCCAAAAATTGCCTCTAGCCCTACTTCTTGCAGTTGCAGAGACGGGAAAGTTTCTTTCATGGTGCTTTGATTTGAAAAAAGGTCTGTTTTTTCCTTTGCTTTCTTCTGGTTTGTTTTTGAGGGAGTCTGTTTGGTTATTGAGAAAGTTGAAAAGGGCTCGACAAAGATAAGGAAATCTAATAATTTTCAAGCTGCTCTGTTCAAGTCTAGCTTAGCTAGGAGAATTCAAGTGTTCTAAAGCTGATACTATATTACTATATACATATGTGTGTGTGTATGCATGTATCTATGTATGCTTACCGTGATGAGATTTGCGCATCATTGATTGACGTGGAAGAGGGGCTCTTTTTGATGTCCTAAAATTTTTGAGTGTTTGAATATGTTCTGCTTTCCTTAGGATTTTCTTTTTTAGCAATTGAAAGTGAGTTTCTTCTATGTTTCTGGCCTGGATGGAAGCCAAAATTGATGTATGATTGCTTTGGTCTGTGAGGAAAACAAGCTGTTCTGCTTCCAACCTTTCCTTTTTATGATTGCAGCTGTGCTGCTTCGGTCTGAAAACAAGTTGTTTGTCAATTAGTTTTGGCTTTCGAGAGCTTTAATTCTCATATGTAACTGTGAGATACTCTTTAAATAGTTTCGGTCACTATTTAATTGAGATTGTCAAGATATTAACACTGAAATAATATGATATGTTTGACAGCGTGACCTTTTCCATAGTTAGATCATTTCATCCATAGATCTTTAGAATCTGTTGTTTAACTAAAGCTCGCACAACTGGGCTTAATACTTCTACCCTTACAATCTCCACCAAAAGTCCGTATTTCCTAAAAAATGCATCCTTACCCATATTCTGAAAGTGAGTCATTAACTTGTTCACCTCATTCATAATGCAATTCAGGTTCTTGATTGGTGACAGCTTTTTAGCATCGTTTCTAAGATAATTTTCTTCAATTAATTGTGACAGTTCAAAATTTTTCCCATATTCTATAATGGAAAATTTAGCCCATATTATATGATGGAAAATTTAGCCCAACAGTCTTCTAAGGCCATTTCATTCACAAGTTCTACAATTCAAGATGCCTTGGGGTTAGACTTGTTTTAATGCAAAAGATATTATGGAGCATACAACCTAAGGATAGGTTCTAGTTTCTTTACGTGAGACATAGGGTAGGTTTACTACTTGGTCTCTAAAAAAAGGTCTCTTGTTGTCTCAGTGATCGCCCTCGTAAAGGCAATATGGGGGTTCAGCAAATATTGGGATGGCACATGTATCAATCACTATCAGTCTAAACACTCAACAAAGAGCTGGGGTTTACACAAACTTAAACCTTGACTCAAGTCATAAGGTAAGTTGTTAGTCCCCCACTTAACTTAAAGTTTACTGTGTGTTCTCTAAAAAAATTATAATAATAAAGTGATCATTTATGACTATACCATGTATGATAGAATGTGAAGATGCATGCTAAAGCTTTTAAACAAAATATCATTCATAGTAAAAAAAAACAACACATAGAATAATAAAAAAAATACCAAGCTTTGTCCTAAGTTTCCTAGTGGAGTCGCCATCCTATTGCACCCTCGCGAGCGGAGCGCAGCACCGTGGTGACCATCAATTGATTTCGGGGTCTTTTAGTTTTATTATTTTGTGTAAAAGGGAGTCGCCACCTAGTATTTTGGTTACTAGAAACCCTAACTGGTCTTTCAGAGATTCTAAGGCAAGGGACTGGTTGCGTAAAGGGAAGGTATTAGCACCTCTAGTACACCCTACCTAAGGTAAGCTGCTTGGTGTTTGGTTTGCTTTATAATTGCTATGGTGTTGGTGTTTTCTAATCCCATCAGTTTTTCTAGGTTTGATTCAAACTAAATTTATTATGATAGAAATCCAAGGAGATTCCATGTGCTTCGAAAGCTCATTTTTTCCTTAGTATTTCAAGAGTTTGCGACTCGTAAATCGCAAGGAGAAGGGACAAAAATTTAGAAATCTAGGATGCTTTAAATGCCTATTTTTTCCTTAGTGTTTTGTACTCTCACGGCTCGTAAACCATGGAGTAAAAAAATTGAAATGTCCTCGATTATAATCAAGGCTTCTTTCAAGGATGTGTGCAGATTTATTATTCCTAGAAAATTATTTTTGATATTTACCACTCTGGGTTTCTTTATTCAAATATTAACAGTGAATAATAACAAATTATTCCCAATAATATTTTGGATATTCGTCATTTAAGGATTTCTTTATTCAAACATTAACGGTGAATAATAGATAAATTCCCCCCAAAATAATATTTTTATATTTTTTTGGAATATTGGTCATTACCCTTTGGAGATTTACAAACATGTTGTAAAATCCAGAAATGCAAGAAAACAATTTTTGTTGTGTTTAAGAAATCCATGCGAAAACATATTTTTCAAAACTTTCCATATTTTTTGTATAAAAAACATTCAAAACATGTTAGAGTATTGGTCGTATATATCACACAAGCAAACATTTTTTATATTTTTTTCAAAACGCAAACATCACAATTAGACATAAACATCAAAATGGAAAGTAGCAAGCCATCATACATATTATAAGAATTACAAGAAGCTTGAAACAATTTGTAACAAAAAGCCTTCAAAGCCAAATCAACTTAAAATTTTATAACTAGAAAGGAATAAACCTGCATGCATGAGGGCGCCATAGTTTTAAAACTGAAATTTTGAAATCAAACCCCTATGTCCATACCTCACAAACCCATTATTTCCTCACCTTAAAACAAACTGCCTTATTCATTTCACAAAGCCAACAGAGAGAAACAAAACAGAAATTAGGACAGCATGCTTTATTCATGTATATAAGAAAAAAAACAAAGCCATGGCCGGGTAATCTCTCAAGAAGCAAGGAAAAAAAAGCGAACAGAAAAGGGAGCTGATGATGAAGAAACAACAACCCTCCCTCTAATGGTTCCTTATGAACCAGCGGAAGAACAAAAAGAAGAAAAAAGAAACTGGTTTTTAAAACATCATGAACAACAAAAGGGAAGCGTTCATTGTAGTCTAAAAATGAATGTGCAAAGCAAAGACAAAACAGGTTTTTAAAACATCAACACAACAGATTTAAAGGTAGAAAAGGAGGAGAAAGTTAAGACTTATACTTGCAGGTCTCAATGTTTTTTTTGCAAAAGATGAAATGGAAAAACACGTGAACGTTGCTGTCAAGGTTTAGCAGCAAATCTCCCTCTCTAACTTGTCTTTTTTCTCTCCTCTTTCCTCACAATGACATCCGAATGCAAGAAGGAAACCCTCTCTATTTACTGTATTTTTTACTATGCCTCTCTTATGTTTTTTTTTTTGTCTCTCTTTACCATGTTTTTTTTCTGCCCCTTACTATCCGGTTTTCTCTTTTTTTATGCTGTCCTCTGCCGCTTTTCTGCTCTCTTTTTTTTCTGCCCCCGTTAGGTCATTAGAAGGGCTTATATATAGTCTCAATATATCTCTATATAGGAAGGATTCAATGCATTAATCCTAGGACGTAAATCCCTACTGATTTATAATTAAAAAAATGCAAAAAGGAAGCTGCAATGTTTTGATTTTGATCTTGTGCTTACGTCTAATTTCTTTCCAATTTTAGAGGATGGTGTGGCTCTTTTCTTTCCTTCCATATGTTCAACTGCTCCCTTTGAAACGGGGCAACAAAAACTTGGTCTTCAGCTCCAAAAATCAGACATGATGATAAAGAAAAAACAACAGGAATTTGCAGCGAAAAAAAGGAAAGAAATCAGATGGAGGGTGCAGGAAAGAAATCAGACGGGGGAGGTGTTGTTCTCAAAATGACAATCATAAAAATGAAAGCAAAATGTGATCAACTCCCCCTATTTTCCTTTTCTGATGAGAGGAAAACATGATCAGCTCCCCTATTTTCCTTTTCTGATCGAATCTCTATTCTTCAATTTCTTTATCCGGTAAAATTTGTTTCTAATTTTATCTTCAATCAACTTTCTTATTTTAGCACCTCTTCCATTTGGTCTTTAGTCCAAAAAAAGATTCAAATTGGCCTGTAATTGGTCTTCAAACTTTAAGCGTCTTGCAATTGTGTCCCTAAAAACTTGGGCAAAAATCCTTCTTAAGGAAAAAATCCCTGCTTTCACACTAGATATTCAAACGAGCATATCTTGAGCTTCTGACATCAAAATCAAGCAATTCAAGAGCTTAAAATTATCTACACGTCTAGGACTACAACTTTGATGAAGGAGTCGAAATGAGATAAAATCTTTTTATAGAACAGAAACTGGTAGTAATCTAGTTGGTGAAAATGGATTTCCGGGTCTAACTCAAAAACTAACGAATGTTGAGAATTCTGATATGACAGAGAGTATGAACTAAGAACAAAAATCACAAAAACTTGGCCAAAATAGAATTTTTTTAGTGCAGACTTGGGTCAATATCCTTCTCGCGGCAGAATTCTCTCTCATCATGTTAGATCTTCAAACAGGAATATCTTAAGCTTCTAACATCGAAATCAAGCGATTCAAGAGTCCAAAATCATCTACGCATCTAGGACTACAACTTTTATGAAGGAGTCGAAGTGAGATAAAATCATTTTAAAGAACAGAATCTGATAATAATCTAGTTGGTCAAAAAGGTTCTTGATCTGACAATGCTAAAGCATCCAAATCTGACTAAGAATCTTTGCTAAGAACAATGATCCCCGGGACCTAATAAAGGTATAGGTTAATTTTTCAACATGTCATGAGTGACAGAATATAGCTGGGATGGTCAGATATCGTACGAAACCAAGTCAAAATCAGAGCTTAAGTTAGAACAAAAAAAATTACAACAACAGCAGAAACTTTTTTTTTTTTTTGCTTTTGTCAATTTTCTAGAAAACATGAGATACACTCCTACACTCGGTTCAAAATGGGTATACACCATTTTTAGCACGTGGGGTCCAAAATTAAGTAACAACACCTAAAACACCTTTCCGTGGATTTAATTATAAACTATCTGCACCCTTTTGATTTTCTTCTAGATGCTTATCTATGTTGGGTAATGGTCATCTTTGATAAGCATTCTCCATGTGCAAGTGCAATGGAAGCACACAAGCAGACACATGAAACATAGTTTAATGTCGCGTTTGGACTGGGTTTTGTTGTATTTAAAGATTGTAGAGGCAGAGGGTGATTGTAGAAGACAAAGCTAGGTTTTGCCATGTCTGTACCTTGGGCCCCTAAGGCTACTCAAAATATAAATAAAATAAAATAAATAAATAAAGTCGGTTCACTTTGTTTATTTATTAACTATATTTAAAGAAACCTTTTAGGACCACTTGATTAGCCAGATTTATTAAATATAAATGCTAAAAGGACGATTTTAGGCATACTAATAATTTTTAAAACAGCTAATCTATTTATTGACTATGTATATAAAATCACAGGGGATTATGAGAGGTTGATCTTGGTCTTCTCTCCCGTGAAATATAAAACAAATTCAATGGAGACTCATTAGAGATAGAAATCCCATTAGTATTTTCTATGATATTTATCATAATTGAAATAAACTAACAAAACATTATCGAAATAAAACTATAAAGAAAGTTTGTTAATCGTATCGAGGCCCAAAAACTAGAGAAGACATGAAGCCCAGAAACTTACCGAAATGAAATCACAAGCCCAAAAGCCATTGTTAACAAGCAATTCGAGGTTGCTGGGGGTAGTAATAAGGTGTTGCTGCTGCTGTTATTGCTAATGGACTCTATTTTATTAATTTATTTATTTTTCTTTTTTCTTTGACCACTAATATGTTACCTTTATGGGGGCCCTCCAATCGCCCTTCAATCAACATACCAGACACAAGATTTATTTTAAGCATACATTTAAAACATGTATGGGCTTTTCATTTAAATTAAAGAATTTATACAATTTTAGTGGAATTTCAACAAATTCTCCCCTTCAAGGGAACCTACAAAAAATTTTATTCTGGAATTATCATCTGCACAACACCAAACCATATTCGGTTTACTTGTTTACAAGGAGAGGATTTATTTTTATTGTTAAAGAAGATTTAGTCCCTTAAAAATCATCTAAAAAGATTAATATGTATATTGAAATCATTAAAAAAAAATCTGAGTTTATAACTTTAGACAAAGCTAAAAAACAATATAAATTTTTTGAGTGTTTTTTATGATATTCTAAATTGACTAAAACTCTTGCGATAACCCATCTAAAATTAATAGGATATTAAAATGTATATGTAACGATGAGTTTTGACACATTTTTTAAAAATAAAAATATCATAAAATAGACTAATAAAATAAAATTTTTCATTAACTTTCTTTCAGGTTCAACATCAATATTTTTTAAGTTAAAATGAAATCTTGTTATCATATTGAGGTTTCAAATCACTATCTTAAATATAATGGTTATTTTTTTCATAAAAATACATATACTAGTTTAGACCCATTTTAGCAACAACATAACATATATTTTTATTAATAGAGTGAGTCAATTACCTAAATTTTATCTAAAATTCTTATGGTTAGTAAAGTTTTTAGTTACAATAAAAGTACTTAATGATTTTTATTTTTCATTTTGCACTTATAGTTAACTAAAATGTCCTTAGCACACCAGTTAAAAAACATATCAATTTATTATTTAAAAGGTAGTCTAGTTGTAAAAACTTGGAATTAAAAGGTTTATTCCTCCTATAATCTTAGGTTCAAGCTATATAACTGCTAATATTAATAATTACTAGAGACTTATCTGGTTGTTAATTTTAAAACCTACAAGTATTTTTTCTTAAACCAAAGCTCTAACAACAAAATCTTTATCCTCTAGTATTTTTTTTTTTTTTTAAGCAACAAAGGTCTCTTTAGAATTCTCTTAGGTGGAAATAACAATCTCTCTCTCTCTCTTTCTTTGCAGGCCTTGTTCCTAAACTAAGTTGTTAAATTATCTGCTAATATTAATATCCTCTAATATTTGTTACTTTGAATTTTTAAATCTTTAATAAACTGTTATATTTATTTTTTAAATTAAAAAGTGAGTTTGGATTGAGATTAAAAGACATGTTGAATCTAAAACAGATAATTTATATTTAATTATTTTTAATACAATATTTGATAGTTAACCCACCAGACCAACCGACGACTCACAAATATTTAAGTTAGATCATTTTAGATAGAATCCGATGATTTTATACAGAGAGTCACCTCAACATTATTCTTTACTTGGTAGTGGAAAGATTTTTTTGAGTACAAGATCCTCTTCTTTGAATTCTCTTGGTCGGACTTTCCGGTCATATGCTTTGGCCATCCTTCTTTGGTATAGCTGGTGATGACAAATTACAACCAACCTCTTCTCACTTATCATGTTTAGCTGCTCATATCTCACTTTATCCCATTCAGCTTCTTCTAGTTCAGATTCTATTAGTACTCTCAAAGATAGAATTTCTACTTCCAAAAGCATCACCGCCTCCATCCCAAATACTAGTGAGTAAGGTGTAGCTCCAGTAGATGTTCTTACTGCTGTGCGATATGCATGTAACCCAATTTTGGATTCACTAAGATTTTCAAATGTTATTTTATTTGATTATTCATAACAAAAAAAAACAAAAAAAAAATATTTTCTCGAGTCAACCGCGTCTTTCCATCAAAAACGAGTCCACTGGGTCAATACGGGTTAAACCATGTCAACCGGGTCAATACGGGTCCCACCATGTTGACCGCGATGAAAAATGAGTTTCAGGCTATTTTTGGTTAAAACTGTTATTTTTGGTCAAAAAACCCGGTCCACTGAGTTGATACTCGTATAAAGATTTTTTTTGTAATTAAAATTGATTTTTAGCTATTGAAAAGCTTTTTATAATATTGATTTGAATTTTTAATTTTATCCCTATAAATAAATATTATTATTATATATAATAAAACAAAAAAAATAATACAATTTTGTCAGAGTAGGCGGAGGATTTCTGCCGATGGTAGGCGGTGCAGCTGTACATTAAAAATTTTGCACAATCCGTGATTACTTGCACAAGCTGTGATTCGTTGTCTCCTATCATTGGCTATAAATAGCTAATGAAATCAAGCCAACCAAGAGGGAGAAAAAGAAAAGAAAAGAAGAGAATTCTGAATTCGAGCTTACTATTTGTATTACTATTTGCCACTGTTCATTTATTTTCTACTTTTTCTTCGTGCGAGTAAGATATTGATTTTTTTTAAAACAATTTGAAAAATACCAAAAATATCCTAACCATTAAATCTAATAGTATTTAAATCTGAGCCTTTGATTTTTTAGTATACAATAGGCTTTACCACACCGGATTAAAACTCAAATCCATCTCAGCCTTTAAAATAATCTTCCCTTTGATCCTGTTGTGCCACGTCATCAGGTGTACCAAACAGTCGGTACACCGCGACACACTAGATCATAGCCCAGCCCATCCTAACCAGCCAAGCACCTTGCAGATCAAGCCAATCACAGCCGCACGATCTGTTCATCCATGATCCAACGGTTCACAGGCTTCAGATGCACCAGTGCACCATGCTCCCGTTTGCACCATAGCAAATCTCAGAGCCCCTCTCTCCTCTCACTAGTGATTCTCTCTCTCTCCTCCGATCTTCCATTTCCTGCCATTTTAAGCGGCCAAACCACCATAGAAAGGTTCATCGCCTCCTCTGAAGCAAAACCCCAGCCGTTTTACACGTTTTCACCACCGAATCTGGCTGGAAAAAGGCCGCGATAGAATCGGCCAACCGAAGGTTCAAGTCAACGATTCTGCCTCATCAGCCATCAACGACCGTCGAGACCACCACCATCAGAATCCTCATCCTTAGATTTACCAGAATCAACCATCGGTTGGCTGGAATCTCACCGGAAAATTTTGCTGCCACCAACATTAGCCGCGCGTGAGCCACACGCGCCGCCAGTGGCATTTTCATAAAATTCAGAGAAATCCGAGGGTATTTCAGTATTTTACCTATATAGTGGCACTCAGGTAATTTTTTATGGTATTTTTGATATTTTTATATATCAATACTTGTAAATTTTTGCATGTAAAAAAACAAAAAATAAATTTAAAATAAATAACGACGCGGTTCTAACACCCATTTTATCATATCACTGTTCATGGGTCAAAATCTGATTCTCAAGAATGGATATACCCAGTTCTCAATGATATCAAAATAATTTTTGTTTTATAAAATAAATATTTTTTATCGACACGTCTCTTTTATTTACAGAAAAGGACCGATGCCAAAAATTTAAATACCAATTATGGATTATGTCCATTATTATTTATTTTGGTAAATCAGACACAACTCTCCTTTTTACGGACAAACATCGACATTTTAGACAAAGTCTCAGTTTTAGGGACTGAAGTCATTTTTAACGTGTCTCCTATTTTTAGGGATCGACGTTAACCATCTTAAATTTTTTTACAAATAAGCTCAAAATATAATAGCATTTGAATCAAATGAAAAACACACAAGTAAGGGTAACCTTTCTCTGAAAGGATGTTTTAAGGGTGGTGTCTACTTTCCCTTAATCATAACTAACCCAGTACCTAAATCTCTAGGACCCGTGTCTAATTTTGGATTTCTAGTTCCCTTAAATTACTAGATGGTGACTCCAATAAAATCTTTATTTTCCTTAATCAAGAAAAAAAACAATTATTTTTTTGTTAAAACAAACAAAAAAGAGTGAAGTCGTCGCCCGACGTCGTGCAGCGACAGAATGGCGACTCCTCTAGGGACTTAAGGTTGAACCAACTGCTTGTATTTGCTTTTCGTATGCTTCTTCTTATTGCTATTTATTGTTAGCATTTATTTTATTTGTATTATTTATTATTGTAATTCTTTTTAATTTTCCATATTGCCACATTCATGCATATTATTTATTTGTGTATTCACACACTTCACGGTGAACCCATAAAAGCTTTGGACCCGAGCTCATCCTTTTTAAGATTAGAAAAGAAAGATTCAAGTGGCAAGTGTGACTTTTGTCCACTGATGCTCATTTGGATTGTAACTCACCCTATGTAACGGGTATTGTGGAATTTTTTCCTATACTCATGTTGCATAAGGTTAAGAGGTCGATTACTTCACGAGTAATTCGGGCAATCTAAGAACCAAATAATTTCTTTAAGGATAGAATAAACTCACTCTATCAAGTAGGATATACCCTTTAAGACACAAACAAATATCAATATATTAACATACATTTTTATATACATTCTATATTCTCATTATATCTCCATTGATCCTTATAGGAAGTGTGAGATGGGAAAAAATAATACTATGGAGGAATTTTTGACCAGATCAAAATTAAGGCATCAAATTTCTTCCCTAAATCGGTTCAAGTTCCTGTAGGTTTGGAGTCCTCAGTGAGAACTTTCTTAAGAGAATCTGATCTGGTCTATTCCTCATCATAAGTTAAAGGAAAACCTGAAACAAATAACAAGCATGTATCATCCATATGGCATTTTGCATCCATTTGTGCATTTCATTCATTTTACTTGCATTCATTCAGGTTGAAATATAGGTCCCCCAAAAGACCATAAAATTCATTACACTCAACTACGAAGAAAGATAATGGAGAACGAAGAAAGAGCACATCTAGAGGCTCACTATCAAAGGGAGTTGGAGAGCATGAAAAATGATATTACACGACTTACAAGTCTACTCGAGTAGACCCTGGTATCCAAGTCTGGAGAGGATACCTCTACTCAGCCAGCAGTTGCAACTCCATCTGTATCTACGCTAGTAGCTCCTTTTGTATTCACTTCTCAAAATTTAAGGGCAAATCCTTCTTCATTTGAATAGCAGTTCACTACCAATGTTCCACCAGCACAGGTGCCAATTGTATACTTGACAATTGATGACCCACATAGGATGAGATACTCTAAACATGTTGATTATGATAAATTAACCGCTCTAGAAGAAAGATTGAGAGCAGTCGAAGGGGCAGACTTATATGATCCCGTTCATGCTGCAGAGATGTGTTTAGTCCCAAATATAGTTGTACCCAAAGAATTTAGGGTACCAGAATTTATCAAGTATACTGGAATTGAATGCCCAGTCACTCATCTTAAATCTTATTGCAATAAGATGGCAGAAGTGGTGAATGATGAGAAACGTCTCATCCATTTCTTTCAAGACAGTCTTTCTGGATAAGCGCTAAGCTGGTATACAAGGCTAGATAATACAAAGATTAGAAAGTGGAAACATTTGGTCAAAGCTTTTATGGAGCAGTATAAATTCAACATGGAGGTAGCCCCGGACAGGTCAAGCTTGTTAGTCATGGAGAAGGGCAACAAAGAGACTATAAGAGAATACGCTTTGAGATGACGTGAAAAAGCATCCCGTGCGCAACCTTCTTTGTTAGAAAAAGAAATGGTCACTCTGTTTTCCAACACTTTTAAATCTCCTTACTTTGAACACCTAGTGAGTAGTTCAGCTCAGCATTTCTATGATGGTGTAACTATTGCTGAGAGGATAGAACAAGCAATAACAATGGGGAGAATGTTAGAGCCTACTAAGAAGAAAGGCTTTAATGTGAAAAAGAAGGATTCCGAGGTGAACAATGTGGAAGGAGGGTATAAGGGTAAGAAAACAAATTACCATCACTATAACTTCCAAATAGCTACCCAACAAGTTGCAAGTGTAAACTTCACTAAACCTTTCCCGACCAACCAACAAAACCAACCACATGACCAACAAAGTAACCAGATTGTTACTCCTCCAAGAATGAATTTTTAAAGACCCCAAGAACGATGGCCACCATTACCACTTCCCTTGGGTGAAATGTACTCAAAGTTGTTGAGTATTGGGCAAGTGGCCCCTGTTCCCTTAACCCCACTACAACCTTCATACCCAAATTGGCATAAGCCTGATATGACATGTGAGTATCATGCTGGCATTAGTGGGCATAACATTGAAAGCTGTAACACATTTAAAAACAAGCTTCTGCAATTGATAAAAGCTGGATGGATAACTTTTGATGATGCACCGAATGTGAATTCCAACCCTTTACCCAATCATGCTACAAGTAGTGGAGGGTTGAATGTTGTAGGAGTAGAGGGTAAGAAGGAAAGAGCTTTGAAGGTTTCCATGGAAAAACTGTATGGTATGATGGTACAGTCTGGATATTTATCCGAGTTTAAACCAGTAATGAATGGAAATAATTACTGTAAGTTTCATGGCGAGATGGGACATCACATTGATGATTGTGAAGAATTTCACCAAAAAGTGAAAAGGATGCTGATTTTCAGCATGATACGGATAAAAAGTGAAGAAGAAGAGTGAAGTTGGGATGATAGGCCATCAGGAGAAAAAAAAAAGAGGTTTGTAGACTCCAACCAACTGTGGGTGGTCCACCAAAACTAATCATAACCAAGCCTGTATGCACCAATAATGGAAGTTATGGCACAATGCCTTACAATTATGGGTATGCTTTCAACATTAAGAATCCTACTCCTATCTTCCATACTGAAATCGGTGGTTTAACTCGAAGTGGTTGGTGTTTTACACCAGAAGAATTAGAGAGGCAGAGGAAAGCTAAAGGAAAAGAAACAGTTGATGCTTTTAAAGATATGGAAGTGAACAAACATATAAGTGAAGAGGAGTCTAATGAATTTCTGAAGTTGATGAAGCATAGTGAGTATAGTGTGGTAGATCAGTTGAAGAAAACTCCTGCTAGAATCTCTTTAATGTCACTTATCTTGACTTCTGAGTTACACTGTAAAGCATTGCAAAAGGTGTTGAATGAAACATATGTGCCATAGGATATTACTCAGGATACAATGAAACATTTGGTGGGAAGAATTCATACCTCCAATTATTTATACTTCATTGAAGATGAGCTAGACCCGGAAGGGACTGGGCATAATAAGCCCTTGTATATCACCGTGAAATATAAAGATTATCTGATCGGCAAAGTGCTTGTGAATAATGGTTCAGCTTTGAATGTGCTATTAAGACATATGCTAGATGAGATGCCAATTGATGCTACTCATATGAGGCCAAGTACTATGACAGCTAGAGCATATGATGGTTCCCCTAGACAAGTAATAGGGACCATTGACGTTGAATTATTTGTAGGGCCTCAGATGTTTTTGATAACCCTATAAGTGATGGATATCCATCCTTCGTATATCATGTTATTAGGAAGGCCATGGATACACGCCTCTAGGGCTGTGACATCATCTCTACACCAATGTTTGAAGTACATTATCAATGGTACTCTAGTGAAAGTTAAGACAGAAGAAACCTTGTCTATGATAAGGAATGTGGCGGTCCCTTATATTGAAGCAGAAGATTGCAAAGATGGAAATCTCCATGCCTTCGAGATTGTGAACACCAAATGGGTACCAGAGAATACGGTGTTGAGAAGACTAGTTATTTCTGATACTGCTAGAATGATAGCTAAATGCTTTTTGAAACATGGGCTACCATTCCAGAATGATCCAATTACTGGAAATCTTAAAAGAGTCAACATGATGAAAATTAAGGTTGCTGATTAGAGGTTTGGGCTTGGCTTTAAGCCTAAGAAAGATGATCACAAGAGAGCTGCTAGGATAAAACGAGAAAGAAGGTTAACCAGAATAGAAGGAAGAAAGCCAGAGGAAGAAGACATTGTAATCCCACCTATCCATGCTTCTTTTCCAAAGTCAACATACGTGATGAAACCTAAAAACATGATGGAAGTCTTGGGACAGAAACTTATTGTCATGGATATCAACAATGTAGACTTCGTGAAGGGAAAGGCTGGAACTATGATGATGAGCAAAAAACAACAAAAGAAGATGAATTGTTACCTCAGTTAACTGTTCATTCTCTAGAAGAGACTCCAACCAGCGCCTTTGTGCGAAAGCTTTCAGTTGAAGAAGTATTCCAAAATTGGGAGATTGAGGAAGCCCAGTTGTTTTCAAGAAGAATTCTGAAAGTGAATCCTCCATAAATCCACAAACATATTGCATTGAAAATGAATGGCTAAAATTTGATAAGGATGAGATTGCAATGGATGAAGAGGAATGGAATGAAAAGTTTGCTAGACGAGTAGAACAATCGGAGCATGCTTGGAAACCTGCAAAGGAAGAATTAGAGGTGATAAATGTAGGCACTGAGCAAGATAAAAGAGAGCAAAAGATTGGAACTCTGATTACTATAGAAGAAAGATGCAGTTCAACCTCACTACTACAAGAGTATATCGATGTGTTTGCCTGGTCTTATGCAGATATGCCTGGTTTAGACATTGATATTGTAGTACACAGATTACCTTTGATAGAAGGATGTAAACCTGTTAAGCAGAAATTAAGAAGAACTCGCCTAAATATTGTGCTCAAGGTCAAGGCAGAGATAGAAAAGCAGTGGGATGCCGGTTTTCTAGAAGTTATTAAATACCCTCAATAGGTATCTAATATAGTGGTAGTACCAAAAAAGGATGACAAAATCAGAGTATGTGTAGATTTCAGGGATCTAAACAAAGCTAGTCCAAAAGGTGATTTTCCTTTACCTTACATAGACGTCCTGGTAGATAATGTTGCAAGGAGTTCAACTTACTCCTTCATGAATGGATTCTCCGGTTATAACCATTTTAAAATGGCTGAAGAAGATAAAGAGAAGACCACTTTTGTCACACCATGGGGAACATTTTGCTACAAAGTGATGCCATTCGGTTTAAAGAATGCTAGAGCCACATATCAAAGGGCAATGGTGACACTTTTCCATGATATGATACATAAAGAGATTGAAGTGTATGTGGATGATATGATTGCCAAGTCTAAGAATAAAGAAGATCATGTCTAGGTTTTAAGAAAATTATTTGAAAGACTAAGGAAGTATCAGTTGAAGCTAAATCCTTCAAAATGCTCGTTTGGGGTGAAGTCTGGAAAGTTGCTAGGATTTGTGATAAGTAATAAAGGAATAGAGGTCGATCCTGATAAAGTGAAAGCAATTCAGGTTATGACAGTTCCTAAGACCGAGAAAGAAGTAAGAGGCTTCTTAGGACGTTTGAATTACATCGCTCGATTCATATCTCAGTTAACAGCAACATGGGAGCCAATTTTTCGATTACTTCAAAAAAAGAACCCTGGTACATGGGACAAAGATTCTCAAGAGGCTTTTGATAAAATAAAGCAATACTTACAGAATCCATCTTTGCTAGTGCCACATGTGCCTGAAAGACCTTTGATCTTGTATTTGACAGTAACTAAGGTAGCAATGGGTTGTGTGTTGGGACAACATGATGAGTTTGGAAGAAAGGAGCAAGTTATATATTATTTGAGTAAGAAGTTTACTGATTATGAATCCAGATATACTATGACTGACAAGCTATGTTGTGCTCTTGTATGGAGTACGAAGCGTCTTCGACAATATATGTTGTATTATACTACCTGGTTGATCTAAAAAATGGATCCTCTTAAATACATCTTTGAGAAACCCTACTTGTCAAGCCGAATAGCAAGATGGCAAGTAATGTTGGCTGAGTATGACATTGTACATAAGACAAGAAAATCTGTAAAAGAAAGTGTAATTGCTGATCATCTAGCAGATAATGCTATCAAAGATTATGAGCCTTTGAAATTTGACTTCCCGGATGAGGATGTGCTGATAGTAGAAGAAGACAAAGAGAAGAATGATCGGTGGATCATGTATTTTGATGGGGCAGTGAATGTTTCTGGTAATGGAGCAGGCGCTGTGATAATCTCACCTAACAAGAAGCAATATCCCGTCTCAGTCAAACTACAATTTGAATGCACTAACAATACTGCTGAATATGAAGCTTGTATCCTTGGATTAGAAGCTGCTTTGGAGATGAAAATAAAAAAGCTTGATGTCTATGGGGATTCAATGTTAATAATTTGTCAAGTGAAAGGCGAATGGCAGACCAAGGAAGAAAAACTGATACCATATCAACAATATCTCTCGAAACTGACTGAGGGCTTTTATGAGATAGATTTTACCCACATGGAAAGAGACAAAAACTAGTTTGCTGATGCTTTAGCAACCTTAGCTTCTATGGCCAAAACTGATTACGGAATCAGGGTACAACCAATCTGCATTAAGATTAAAAATTTTCCAACTCATTGTTGTTCAATTGAAGGAGAAATAGATGGGAACCCATGGTTTTATGACATCAAGCAATTTATCCAATATCAAGAGCATACCTTGGGGGCATCTAAAGCAGATATGAAGACCTTGAGAAGGTTAGCTCTGGAATTTTACCTGGATGGAGAAATTCTATACAAAAGGTCATTTAATGGGACTTTACTAAGATGTCTAGATGAAATTGAAGCTAAGGTAGCATTGCAAGAAATTCATGAAGGATTTTGTGCAACTCATGCAAGTGGGCATATGATGGCTAGACAATTGCAACGATCTGGGTACTTCTGGATAACCATGGAGAAAGATTGCATCGATTATGTCAGGAAATGTCATAAATGTCAAGTGCGTAGTGATAAGATAAATGCACCTCCAGCTTCTCTATTTAATATGACATCACCATGGCCATTTGCAATGTGGGGAATAGATGTGATTGGGCCAATCAACCCAAAGGCCA